GATTTAAGACCCGTGGTGACCGAGCCTTTGAGGCAGTGGCGCCGAGGCTGTGGAATGCTCTGCCTGCAACTCTATGCCTCGCAGATACTGTGAATACTTTTAAAAAACAGCTCAAAACCCACCTTTTTAGGCTGGCGTTTGAGTAAAAACCCATGTCCTAGACCTGCTCTTAAAATGTTTTAATTTTTAACAACAGTCAGAGAGGTTAGCCTGTGAGTTGAGTGGAGCTGGCTACATCATCTTGGAGGAAAATGCCGGCAGCGGCGCAACTACAGATGTCCGTTTTGAAGTACATAAGAAACAAGTCACGAAGTCTGAAAGCCTTTGTTGCTGTCATTCAGTAAGCTACAAAAGTGGAGCAATGGCAGTATGTCAACACAACAGAAGACCCAGCCAACTGCCCCTCTCGTGGGCTCACTGCAGAGGAGTTCATGGCCAAACAGACAAATAATTGTGTAGTGAAAATCTGATATCTTGACAGCCCGAAGACATGTTATTTTAAATCTTCTTATTTTACCGGTCTAGTTTTAAATCCATGAATACAAATGGTGTCAAAGCAAACCCAGCATGCACCAGTTCATAAAATGATTATTACTTTGAGGCCATTTCCTGGAGAAAATGATCATGGAGCTGAGAGTCTCAGACAGGGTAGGAACGTTTCATTGGTGTGATTGACAATAAGGTAATAGCCTTATCCTTTATAATTAATGTTTTAGCTAGTAGAGACCTTTCTAGTAATGTGTGGAGCCGTTGCTAGGACATATCTGCAGTCATGTTTATGTAGATGATTGCCTTTGATTGGACACCACTGCAGATGTCTACTGGCAACGGCTCCTTGCATTACTAAGGTCTTTACTAGCTAAAACAGTACTTATAGGATAAAACTAGAGATTATTCTACATGTTCCTTATTGTCAATGATGCCCCTGAGAACACTGACACTTTAGTCTGTCTCTCAATGTTTTCTGACTCTCAGCTCCAAGTCCATTGGTATCTACGGATGGATCTTTAAAAATGGCTCCAAGTTTCTATATAATTTCATTTTGAGAAAAGGTTCAGTCATTTCCTAAAACAGGTAGACACTATTTTTTTAGCAAACATTAGTCAAACAGGAGGAAATGGTGCATGGGGACTATTTTCAGCAGCAGATTAATCCAGATTTGGGGCTCTAGTGAGTATTTGGGGCAGCAGGACGGTGTATGTGGGATTGAGTCAAAATAAACTACAGTGTGTGTGTGTGTGTGTTGAGGCTCTTCTCAATCACTGTTCGTACTTATACCTACGAAAAGTAACGTAGTATAATTCAAACAAACAGGAAGGAAACCATGGACTTCCCCATATGAAACCAAAAGTCAACATTCAACTTATTTGTCATGTAAGGCACATACTTAATCAACTACTAAAGTTACTTGACAAACAAACTTATTTCAACCCAAACCACAATCTGTTCATCACCTAAAGTAGCTTTGTTGCTGAACAGGTTCTACACTGCAGGGGCTTTACAGACGCACCAATCACTTGTGTTGCTGGAAATTCGTAAGAGATGCACGAAAATACCAAATGACTTTTCAGAAGATATTATACGAGTGTAGGTTCGTGTGTTCTTGAATGTGGAACACTGAGGCTCACTGGTGTGCTTTTAATAGTGTATTACGAGTAGCTCTATAGCACAGAGGAATAACATCGGTCAGACGTTGGAGCTGTTGTCAGTAAGAGAAATATATCATCAGACTTACTCTTTCAATTTGAATGCTGGGACCTGATTTAAATCACTAGTTTGTAACTGGCTAGAAAGAATGTATTAAGGGCAACAATGTATTGATGGATTTACTCATAGCTGGTGCACCCAAATCCTGGACCAAAGTGTTTTACAGAGCGATGGACTCACCAACAAACCAAACTTTTCATCCTGTGTACCCCTCCACTAATAGAACAAAGATTAGAAGGCTTCAAGGCTTTCATCTATTCAGCAGACTATGATTACAAGATAGCAATAATGACAACAGCAGCCCTGGTTGTAGATCAATGTATCATAGGATAGACATCATTTTATCCCATACTCTCCCTATCTAGAAACACACACACAGATATATTCCTTCTACCAAGCAGCGCTAATGCAACTTCAAAAGGATGATTGCCTGTCATTAAAGCTTGCAGCAGGGAAGGAAAGGTTGGAGTGGACCTAGAAGCCCGTCGAGGAGTGGAAGACTAATTAGGACTTTGGACTCTCTGTTCTTCCACATCCATCATTGATGTTTCTGTTTAAACTGCAGATTAGCAGCTGTTACATCTGGAGTGGTCACACACTCTAAACTAAGTGTGGTTCTCTTGTTGGCCACCGAATAGCTCTGTCTCTGTACCGTTGGGACGCATGGACGGAGGGGGAATGAAACGTAGCCTTTAGGACTCTTTGATGAACACCAGCTCAATCAAGACCGATCTAGCAGTTTCAAACTAATCTTAAAGCAATTTTGGCTTAACCATAATTATTTGTCACTTTTGTCACCGCAACCACAATTTGATCCTTTGTCGACCGGGAGAAGATCCCCAGACTCCCTAAACAATCACGTCTTTTGATGTGAGATGTTGAGTTTATAAACGTATTCGTGCACACATTCGATACATTGACCTGATACAATGTATAATCATTATGATGTGATTATAATCATTAAAAGTAGGATATAAGCTCTGTGGGCATGTTCCTCAGACACATCCAATACGATAACAGCTTTTTTTTCTGGTGTATTAAACCTCCTCAGCTTCGAATAGTATCAAATGAATTACATAGTTGGTATCGGTATCACTTTCAGGGTACTGGTATTGGCACTGGCATCGTCATTTTTTAAATGATACCCAGCCCTAATCATCATCATCATTATCTACTAACCACTGGGTCATCAGGGTGCCCTAGCAATGCCATTCTTGCAGTGCAAAGTGCATCATATTTGTAACAGTAAAGCATCACATGTTCTAAAGTTTCTTCCTCATTACAAATTTGCACCTTCCTGTATTATGTTTTCCTATTTTAAATAATCTTCTGTTTGATCCAGTATGCCCCAAACATAACGTGGATATTGTTGTTTCTTCTCTCTTGGTTCTCCTCATCATACATACTTTCCTTTGAATTCTCTACAACCACCGTCCTGTTCTCTCTTCTTCCCACTGCGTTTGCCACCTTCCTTACAGCTTATGTTTAATTGTGGTCTTCATTAACGTTTTACTAGAGGGTACTGTGGTGTCACTGTGATTCATTTTTGTAGCTTCCTTTGCACATTTCTTTTTCTTTGAATCCCAGATGTGCTGCTCCATCCATCCAATTGTTATATCTAATCCCACCGTTTCATGTAATCTCATCAGTGTTTGCTGTATCTCTATTAAAACATCTGGCCTGCTGTCTAAATGACTCTACTTCTACCTGGTTAATTAGGAACTGGAATCGGAGCCTAGTACTGCTCTTAACGGTCTCATATCTTCAACCCATTGTAATCCGAACATCTACACTAATAATTAATATGTGATTATCTTGCATATCTAATGTGGAAATCTAGAACTATTAATGAAATGCCAATTTTGTTAGCTGAGGTCATTGTAGTATTTGAGTAAACAACAGGAAAGTTGTCACTTCCTATTGCTGTTTATGCCACAATTTCCAAAGTGCATATACCTGCCACTGTTTCTGATGCTAAAGTATGATCTACAGCACATACCATACCATTTCTAACATCAACCCTTGTACCTTTTCCATTGTTGAGGCACATTAGGTTTTTGTCTTCCATTAGCTCATCAATCTCTTCTACATTCTTTCTACATATTAACAGTTTTCACTTGTTGCATTTCCATTGCTCTTTTCCTGACTTCACAATTTCACTGCACTTTTTCTTCACAGTCTTCAAATCTATGATCACCTCTGCATTTGCCGCACCTTTGCAAGCCAACGCTACACGCTTATACCTCTGTAAACTGTAGAAGCACTGACAAACCTTCTACTCTCTCACCATCAATTGTTCTTAACAATCTCCTTAGTCTCCTCACCTCGCCTCTTTGAATACTTTATTTGAGTTTTTCAATGGGAATGCCAGTTATCACTCCACAAAAAACTTGTCGCTCTCTTTCTCGCCCTCTTTCTCCAACAAGCGTATTCTGGTCATCAAATTCCATATCATCATCTTCATCATCTACCTTGTGTTGCCATCCCGATCCAGTCCCAAACTAGTATATGCCCACCACCAGCAATTATCTTGTGTAGGCTATGTAAGGATGTGATGGATGTTTAATTGCAAGATTCTAGCTGAAGCTACTGGACGCTCCTGTTCTAAATCAATGATTTACACGGGCTCCCCGCCGGGGCTGCAATCAGCAGCCTTCAGTCAATATGCATGTAGTCACAGAAATAATTACATCCTGTTAAATCATCTGTGACTATCTGTAGTTTATATGTGTGTGTATGTGTATATATATAAATGTATCTGGCTGTGTATTCTTGATGAGTTTTGATAGATAACCTTTATTATTATCAACCAAACAAGATATGTTTGTTGCATTGTTCAGCGATCGCAGGTGATTGATTCTGTTTCTGACCCAGACCGGCCCACCATATAAAATATTTAAATCAACAAGCAAATTCAACATTATTGAAAATTGGTCTACTTATTAATTCCTTCTCTTTATGAAAATCTCAAAAGATTTGAGTGTTATTCCCCCTGGACCTCTACGCTTTGCCATTTCTCCTTCCTGATGTAACTTGTGTCAATCAGTGCTGACCATAAGACCAAATCAGATCAAAGCTCACACTACCAACTCTAGAGTCGTACGACTGTCTAGAGTTGTAAGATAACATGAACACTCGTAGGTCGTTATTGATCCATCCCATATGACATGAATGTGGTGTTAGGTCAAAGTTTGGCAAAGGATTCCATGTACAGGGAAAGACAAATAAAGCTGTAAGCCCAATGTGCACATCCAGCCTGTCCGAGAGGTCTAACCTCTAAATATGAGAAATCCCCTGTGAGGGTTTATTATGGGTGTGCAGGGGTATTTGCCACACTCTAAAACTATTCCTCTCAATTATTTCTCATGGCCTATTGGTAATCAGTATGGCTACATATGACATATTTTGAGCCTGTGAAATAATACACACAGACAGAAATGTCTTTATCCTTGTACCTTGTAAATGCTGTGGTGTTTCAAGAAAGCCAATGCAGTGTCAGGTTTTCTCAGGTATGACTCATTTGTACTTTGATGTTTGTTAGAGGCAAACTAAGTGACAGTTCTTTCTTTTCTCACAGGTTTTCATAATTCAGGTCACACAAAATGGGAGCTCACTGTATCCTGAAGGGAAGCTTCTGCAGGATCCTTGTGATTCTTCAGCACTCTGCAATGGCTGTGAGACTCAACGAGACAACATGAGTGCCGAAGCCAAGCAACACAACCTTTAAGTGCACAGTCGATGTGATTTGACCTGCCGGAACGCGTGTTTGGTATTTAATGCGTCCAACTGGTCTTACCTTGCTTTTGATCAGAACTCTGAACTTACTACAACTGGAACAGATTAATAACATGATGTTAACGCATGAAAGAAAATGGAATGCTACACAATTGCCCACTAAGAATCCTACAAATCAGTGTGTAAAATAGTTACCCTTGAATGCAATTGCTGCATACCCTGTTTTCTGTAGCTAAGAGGAAAAGAATGATAAAGGTTCTCTTGACTTCCCCATGAGAATTCAGTGACGAGAAAAGAGACCCAGGATAATCAAGGATGTAGAGACTATGAGAAGAACAATAGAAATTTTCTTTCTTGGGTGACAGTAACAACAACAAAAATTAACATCAACTCATTCTCACTCTCAACGCTTCAAGTAACGTAGCTTGGTCAGTGCTCCTCGGCGTCTCGACACTGAGACACAGGCAGAGTAACTGACTGTAGTTTCAAGAGCTAGATAGTCCACACAGGGCGGGTGGGAGTGGAGGTGGATGCGTCAAACAAATGCAGGACTTTTGTCCAGGAGCCCGCTGTTCGTTTCTGGTGTGAAAGTAAAAGTAAATGTTGACATTTTTTGAGTCTTTTGTGTTGTTACTCACATGCGGTAGTTACAAACATAGTAAAGTTTACAGCAACCACTTTATTTGAACCTAAGTGGTTTTGTTGCCTAAACCTAACTTCCTGTGAGTTGTTGGTCAGTCAAGTTAATGTCAGCCACACTCTTTACCTAAATTGAACAAAGAGTTTTTTTTGTCCAAACATAACTTTCTGTGAAGACAGTTTATTTTGAAAAGACACTATATAAGGAATCTTGTATTATCTCAGGATTTTCTGTGAAAAACAAGAACTACTACAGAATTTGCTTTTTTTGCAATCACTGTGATTAATACGTTAGTATTTTAAAAACTACAGCTCTACGCTGTTCGGTACTCCCTGTCCATTCACATATCTGCTGCAACTTGATGGACTTGGGCTTGCGGGGAAGGGTGCTCTTCAAAGGTTGCTGAAACGGAATTGTTGAAAAAATAATGATGTATTACCATCGTTGTCAAGACAAATGTGTGGGGTCAGGTGGTATATCACAAACTGTTGATCAAGGTCATGTGTAGGGATATTTTTCTAGTAATCTGTGAATTTACAAATTCAAAGAAGCCCAAAGTTTGGCTTCACTTCAGCTCTTTATAGCTCCATCGGATAGCATCATTCCAACTAACAGTTAGCATACCCAGCAAAAGTGACTATGAATTTCAATGGGAGCCAGGACTATGGGTCCTATCCAACTGGGTTGCCCTATAACACAAGCATGGACTATGAGGACTACTACCAGGAGCCTGACGCCAGTAAAATCATCATCCCATCCATCTATGCTCTTGTCTGCTGTGTAGGTCTTACTGGCAACGCCATGGTCATCTACGTCATTCTGAAATACGCCAAAATGAAAACAGCCACAAACATTTACATCCTCAACTTAGCGATTGCTGACGAGTTGTTCATGTTAAGTGTTCCCTTTCTGGCCACATCAGCTGCCGTCCGTCATTGGCCCTTTGGGTCGCTGATGTGTAGGTTGGTACTGAGTGTAGATGGTATCAATATGTTTACATCAATCTTCTGTCTGACTGTGCTGAGTGTGGACCGATACATAGCAGTTGTCCACCCTATCAAGGCTGCCCGCTACCGCAGACCGACAGTCGCCAAAGTAGTCAATGTGTGTGTATGGGGACTGTCACTCATAGTCATCCTGCCCATCATCATCTTCGCAGACACTGTCCCGGCGCAGGACGGTGGTGTGGATTGTAACTTCTTGTGGCCTGAATCGGCGTGGTCAGAAGCATTTGTCGTCTATACCTTCCTGTTGGGGTTTCTGCTGCCGGTTGGAGCCATCTGCTTATGCTACTGTTTAATGGTGGCCAGGATGCGAGCAGTGGGGCTAAAAGCAGGCTGGCTTCAACGGCGGCGCTCGGAGAAGAAGATCACCCGCATGGTGCTGCTCGTAGTGGCCGTGTTCGTTCTCTGCTGGATGCCCTTCTACATTGTCCAGCTTGTCAGCGTTTTCCACCGGCCCCCAGACCCAATGGTTACTCAGCTTTTTGTCATCCTCAGCTACGTCAACAGCAGCGCCAATCCTATCCTGTACGGCTTTGTGTCAGACAATTTCCGGCGTTCATTCCAGCGCATTGTGTGTTTCCGCTGGCTGGAGTCTGGGCTGGATGCGGAACAGGTGGATTACTGTGCTGTAGCTTTGAAGAAACAAGCAACGTGTAGCCCTCTGGATTTTCCCAAGGACTGTACAGCTTCTGATATGGTGTTTCGCAATGGGACATATACCTCCCGTACAACCACAGTGTAACCAGAACCAGTCTCACAACCTAACGAGGAGTTTTCCCATTCAATTTTGAATTATATGTATGTGTTATAAAAACTCAGAGTACACAATATATGCCATATAAAAATTGACTTGACAACATGTTAACTGCTTAAGGTCAGGGGTCATAAGAATTTTGGGACACAGGTCAAGAAGTTGAGAAACCTTGAAGAACAACTAATGTATGAGCAGTAAATGTACAGTTCAGCAGCTGATCTCGCTGGCTGATACGTTGAGAGAAAAACTGACAATGAAAAAGATGTACATAACTGTCAGGATCCCACTAAGCTTCTGTTTTTGATGTTAAGCACAAGTGAATTTAAGCACAAAATGGTAATGCTTATAACCATTTTGATTCTGTTACGTGACTTATTGACAGCCCTGGGTATAAGAGGCTGCGTAGGTATCCCATTAACTAATTGCAAATGTGAAATCCTTTGTTCATTCATCGTAATTGTTTAATTTTCAGATACACTAATAAACCATCCAATGGCACCCCCACAATCCCCAAATTCTACAGTTCACAGATATGTTTCAACAATTGAAATTTTGGTCAAGAAAACTATTCCCAAATAAGAGTCTGTGCTGCTCATTGTTTTTTTTAACAAGATAGTTTTTATTTCAAAATTATTTCCAATTTGTTTAAACACTGTTATCACAGTCAATGCAACTTAAGACTTCTGATCAAAACTGCAGATGTCTCAAAATAAAAGCATTCAATATTAAAGCCAAAATGCCATTCTGATTATACATTTTCATTTACCAAATTATTTATAGGTTATAATTACATTATTTTAAAACATAAACATTCTCAAGTCATATCAGTTTTCTGCCAATTTAAACACAATTTGGATACTTTCAGATTAAGAATAATTTTAAATGCATACAAAATTTGTGGCATTTTTGTGCCAATTAAAATATACAAATATTTGAATCCAAGAGCCTTTAAATTAATAAACAGTGATTTTGTTTAGAATTCATATATAATTCCCTTAAAGTTAATAAATGCACCCTTACAATTTAAACATAATTCATCATAAGCTTGCTTTGCAAAGTTATTATATGATTACCAATTATTATAAATTCAGTTGTAGTAAATCGTACTTAAAACGTTTCCATTAATTTCCCACAGCATCCAATAGTTGTTTAAAATTCTCACCAGGACAAAATAAATGTTTATTATCTGAAAAAATGAAATAATCTTTACTGTCTGTTCAGGAAACCACCGACAATCAGTTCTGTCAAAATAAACAATAATGGACTAAACATAATCTGTGAGGCAATGTGGGTGCTATTGGACATTATATAAACTAAATCACAAACTAAATATCTTATTAATTTACCTTTATCAGATTTAACAGATATTGTTTGAATTTCACCACATTGTCAAATCTCTCTGTCAAACTTTGAATGTAATTGATCTAGTCTATCTTTTATGTAGTTGTAGCAGATTTGTTCAGCACAAAGTTCAACTTAAAATTGTTAAAAAATATATATTCCTGGGGAAATACAACCAAGCAATTTCAAAGTATGGTAGTGTGCTAGTTTTACTTTTCAGTAACACGTGAATGATTTAATAGTATAAAACAAAAACACATGGGCATGGGGGGATGTACTGGGTTGGCCCTGGATATCACCGAGATAAGAGAAAGGTTCGATTATTAATGTGTGTCCCTTTCTCCAGGCATTTAAAATGATGTTTGTTTCGTTCTTCGTATTTGTTCTATATTCTATATTTGTTAATTGTTCGTTGGTGGATCCGTTTGAATATGAGGTTTGTCTTTGCAAATTGAGCCAGAGTTGCTCTGCTTCAGTTGCACAATGTGACAAAAATGGCTGAAAAAAAATGTATATGTTGAGTTTGTGTTTCTAAATTACAAAGGCTCACAAAATTAACTTTTCTCATGTGATCTTTGTCATTTTGTGTTTCGCAGTGTCTCAAAAAGCTTAACATTGTATATCTAATGAAATGTGCCTTCAAACCTAATAATTACTTCAAAGTATGTGGGATCAAAAACCCTTGACTTTGAAAGAAGAAATCCTGGAACAATTCTACTCATTTAATTATCAATGTTCCTTTCCATTCAGAAGGCTAACATGACACTTATATACATATATTTACTTATTTGCATACTTGGAGGAAGTCAGGAGACATTATGGACCCTCAAAGTCCACATGGCGATGAGGTTGGGATGGATGGATGGGTCAACAGAACGCCTTGTAGTACCTAATAATGTAATATCATTTCCTGAAAATGGAATACAATTTGCACATAACCTGTTCAAAATTGTAATAATGAAACCCAATGTCATAACCTGACAAATAATCTAAACAAATGACTGACTCATATTGTAAAAAACGTTTTAACCAATATTGTAATACCATATTACACTATTGGAAATGTATTACATTTTCAGGTGGGGCATTTTTTCCAAAACTTCAAATGTTCTCAAGTGTTTTCTTTATTTCAAATTTGATTTGAAACCCCTTCTGAATGCAGACATTTCATAAGATCAGGCGAGAGGCAAAGGAGACACTTAATTCAATAGCAATCAATGACAACATTTCATGGAGAATGATTTGATGGTTTTGCCTTCATGGTTTGCTTGTGCAACATTAGCCATCTTCTGCAGCTATTTGAGTCCTTGCCCACTTGGGCAAGGACTCAAAAGAACAACCCAAGACCAGCAAAATAGTTACAAACCAGGTATGCAAGACCAAGATTGCAGAGCAAAATGTTTGACAGATTAGACACAGATGTACCAAGACAAACTGGCACAGACAAAGTGGAGCACACAGACAAAATACTCTGGGAGGAGGAGGGGTAATTGGGAACAGGTGAAGCCGATCAGGGCAGGTGAAGGAAGTCAAATTAGCGGGAAACAGACAAGGGCAGGAAGTGAAGTTGTCTGAAATGAACGGGAGAGGTGAGAAACCCAAAAATGACATAAATGTGAAAACAAGGAAAACATAACAAAGTTGACGAGGTGTTATAGAACCTTTGACCAATCAGCATGGGTATTGACGGGTTCATTTTGCATTAATTACAAAATTTCTTATAATATCCAAAAATATGATGACAAAATCCATTAAAGTCATTGTTCAACTCATTCAATCAAAGTTTTATTTCAGCAATTCTATGACATTCACTCCCAGGATTGACACATCACTCACCTTACATGGCAGCTGGGTTCTGGCAATGTCATTGCGGGATTACATATCACACGTAAATCCATCTTGTCAAACTTCAAGTAACACTTTTGTGTCCATCAAGCCAGTGGTCCAATCAGCTCCCTGTGAGGAGCTACTGGCAACAACGGGCGGGGCCGTGTGAGACGATGTGGAGAAGCGACTGGCAGCTCCTACAGAGGTTTGCGTAGATGCTGCAATAGCATCAGTTCTGCTTTTGCAGCATTGAATGACGTATAAAGAATGCCACTGAAGGCTTTTCTTTATAAAAAAATGTTTTTGCTCTTCTCCCGACTTTGAGTTTGATTGACAGATAGTTCATCCAATCACCTGCCATGTATGTTTTGAAAGTGCCTGCCCTTTTCAAAACAGTTTTGAATAATGGCTTCTCAGATGGTTCTCTGTAACAAATACAACAAGTTTTATTTTTCTGTAGGTCTGCACATATTTTTCAAGCATCTTAGAGTAAAAAAAAAAATCAGAGAGTGACACAGGTTTGGTTCCACTTCAGACTGGTTAAAGCATTTGATCAGAAAGTTGATCAAATGCTTTAACCAGTAATTTTGAAATTCACTGGTTCCTCTACTGATATTAGGGTAAGCTCCAGAGGAGACCTAACCTTTCAAAAGATGCGATTGAGTCAGAGACACACACAGGAGAAATGTTCATTGAGGACTATCCGCTTATTAAAAGATGTTTGTGGAAAAAACATTGAGTGACCTTGTGCGGATTGCTCACAGTGACAGAGAAGATGTAGTTTTGAAACGGATATGATTCGTGTCTGTCACAGCAAATAGTTTCAGCAGTAATAAATCAAACCTTGACAGTTCATACAGCATCTCAGACAAGTAACACGCAGCTGAATCAAAGAGGTTTTCATTATTTATACATGTATTGTCATGGATTATTGTCACAGGAAGCTCATTCAGGGGCTTTCAGGCAGCAAGCGGTTGCTGCAGCAATCTCCATTGTATTCAATGTGAGTGGCATGGAGAGGGAGGGCTGCCTCCGCTCTCATGACCCTGTACGGCTATTTGCCAATGCATTCGAAGTTTAGGACGGTTTATCAACTTGCCGCAGCGGCTCGCTCTGTGACCGTGACAAGAGAAACCTCCACCAGAGAACAATACGGGAGCTGAATTTGCCTGAATGGATCACCTCCTCACCAGCAGAGAACATACACACATCTGTCACGGTCTTGGTTTAGTTTGTTTCCTTGTCTTATTTTGAATTTCCCTGCCTCTTGTGTCCCATGTTAACTTCACTTCCTGCCTTTGTATGTTTTCCCAACTTTGTGATTACTCTGTTCGGCTCTGCAATGATCTGCTCTTCCAGGTATGTTCCTTGCTGTGTTCACTGCTACCCTGTTTGTATCTCTCGTGCTCTTTTCCTAAATTACCCGATCCTTTTTTGTGTTTTGCCTGTTCTGGCTTTTCTTGGATTTGTTTTTACACATTTTTTGACTCTCCTGCTCTGCAAGTTTTGTTTTGAATATTTTCTTGATAAATAAAATCCCCGTTAATCATCCTTCTGTTCCCCCACGTCACTCTGCGTTTGGGTCCATCCCCTACTACCTTTTTGCCTCCGCCTGACAGTACGAACCAATCACAATATGGACCCAGAAGATGGATCATTTAAAGAGGCGCTGTACAATCTGAGTTATACCCTCCTTTGTTTTTATGGAGAGTGGAGGAGAGCTTCTAGTAGGGAGATTGAAGAGGCGGCGCTGAGGTTGGCACCTTGGGAGGCATCATTAATGCCATGGCTGGTGAGTTCTTTACCTGACTGGGCTAAATCATTTCTTAACCCCCTGATTCCCAGCATGCCTCTCAGCCAGCTAGCCACCAGCTTCCAATCTGCAACACAGTCGACTAGCCTGCTACCAGTTAGCCACCAGTCTGCTGGTCTCCAGCCTGCTTCTCTGTCTGCCAGCCCCTAGCCCGTTCCTGGGAACCCGCCTGGTTTTTGGAGGGCCTCGTAGTCTCCAGTTTTCTAGCCATGAGTCAGTAAGCCTCCGGGCCAAATCAAGAAGGAGGCATGGGAAAAGGAGAGGTCGGATCCCCAAGCTGCCCAACGACCCAAAGTCTCTGCTGCTCAGTTGCATAGCTGAGGTGTCGCCAGTTCCTGGGTCGGTCGCAGTGCTCTCCTGTTCTCGCTGGGCCGCAGCGTTCCCTGGTTCCCGTTTCATGTTAATGACCCATGTGTCACACTGCAGTCGTAACCTCTAATGTATTGTAAAAGTAACAAACTGCAGCTTTCGAGACTCAGAAATGAAGCACATATTTTGAGCGGGGAGCTAATTTTCTAAAGAGACAGATCGGACATTATTCAGTGATGTGTCTTGGTTTTACACCTTTTATGTTTCATGGCACTTCATTTTCTGAATGTCTTGCCAAAAGGGTGCCATGGCAATGTTTTTTAATAACACACAGAGACATGGTACCATTAACATCAAATAAAGTAATATAGCAAAATAGCTCTGCCTTATGAACAGAACCTGTACTCCATATTTCCTTTAATGGTTCCTTTAATACTGTTATAGTATGCTATAATATATTGTATGACGTCTGTCTGCGGAGAGGTGTGTCATTGGGGACCTGCTGTGGCAGAAGCTGATTGATTGAAAATATAATACAACAACTGCAGTGGAGAAAAAACTGTCAACTGAGGAGTGGCACAGACTACATGTTACAAACTCTCTCTCTCTCTGATGACGGAGATCAGCAGGGCAGGAATGCTCAAGCAGATTGCCTGGGGGGGTTATGCAGACGGGTGGAGACACTCTGGAGGGTTGCCAGATGATCAGGGGGCCAGCGAACCGCTCTGGAGGGTGGAGAAGGCAGACTGGTGAAGATCTGGGCAAGGAGCTGGCCAGCAAAGGAAGCCAATGGCCTCTGGAGTCATGGGCATCTTGCCTTCTTCTGATGACTGATGGCTGACGGACATCAGGCAGCTCGTCAACGGGTCCGTTGGAGGCCCATAAGGTTCAGGCCATACATATTCAGGGCAGGCAGGCGGTGGGCCTACAAATCTGAGGCTAGGAAGATGGATGCTGCCTGGATGGTAGCAGGCTGAGGCGCAGTACGGAGGGCTAGCAGGATGGGGTTCAGGCTGGAATGCGTTATCTGAAAATCCAGCCAACCAGGTCTTGGGGGACACTTGCTGGAGGGCTAGTGATGGAGCTGTGTCCTTCTGCTCAAGACTGGAGGCGTTTTGTCAGGGGTTGTAAAGGCACTGAATGGCATGAGTCACCTCATTTGGTTCAACTACAAAAAAAAAAAATACGCTGGGTCTATTTTTGGCCAGACATACGCTTACTGGCATGGTTACAGAAGGAACTGAGAGTTCAAAGGTTAGATGAATAATGGAGGGAAAATGGTGCAAGTAGGCAGACAGGTACTGATTCAAGGTACATGTTTTGATATTTAAGGATTATGATAACACTAACTCTGACGACGAAGAAGTGACAACTGTTGATGACTTTGATTTAGCAGAGGAGGTTGCTCCTCTTCTGTTTTTGAGAGGCAAGACAGAGATCAACATTAAAAAAAGAGTAATTGGTTGAAATAAACCATTACTAACAATATAATTTATAAAATAGATAAATATAAAGAACGTGGTGATGGGAGGAGGGCGAGACTTAAAATGTCATGCTAATCTATGATTGGCCAAAACACGTAAAATGACGCTCTTATTGTAAAATAACA